ACAAAAATATCAAATGATGGTGACCATGGTGCTGTGGGATGGTCTGTATGTCAAGTGTGGTGCTGATTGGTCAATAAATAAATCACTGATTGGTCAGTGGCCAGGCAGGAAGTATAGACGGGACTAACAGAGAGGAGAATTGAGAGAACAGGAAGCTAGGTGGGGGAGACACTGCCAGCCACCATCAGGACAAGGAAGATGTAAAGTACCGGTAAGCCACAAGCCACGTGGCAAGGTATAGATTAATAGAAATGGGTTAATTTAAGCTGTAAGAACAGTTAGCAAGAAGCCTGCCACAGCCATACAGTTTGTAAGCAATATAAGTCTCTGTGTTTACTTGGTCGGGTTTGAGTGGCTGTGGGACTGGCGGGTGGCAGAGATTTGTCCTGACTGTGGCCAGTCAGGAAAACTCTAGCTACACCATAGATACATTCTTGATAAAATACCTGCAAACTGATTTCAAGAACACAGGAAAACAATTGTTCATCATGATTGAGGTGGCTCCATTCTAGAGATAGAGAGATGTTCAACATACACAAATCATAAATGTAATACACTACATAAATAAACTCAAGGTTAAAATCACTTGATTATTTCAATAGATGTAGGAAAGGACCTTGACAAAATCCAACACCCTTTCATGAAAACAACCCTGAAGAGAATATGAATGGAGGAGACACACCTCAGAATGATACGGACTGAATGACCTGCAGCCAACATCATGATACCTGGACAAAAACTCAAGGCATTTCCACTAAGATCAGGAATAAGCCCGGGCAGTCTGCACTCTCCACTCCTGGTCAGTACACTGCTTGAGATCTTAGCTAAAGACAAGAGAAAGACAGAGACACACAGGAAGGGAGAAGTCACAGTGTCCTTATGTGCAGATAACAGGAGCCTACACATAACAGACTAAAGACTCCACCAGAAAATTCTTAGAGCTAATAAACACCTTCAGTAAAGTGCTAGGACACAAGATTAATAAACAAAAATCAGTAGCTTTCCTGTAATCAATGACAAATGGGCTGAGAAAGAAATCAAGGAAACAATATTAATCACAGCAGCCTCAAAAGCAACAAAACACCTTGCAAGAAACCTAACCAAGGAAAAGAATGATCCCCACAATAAAAACTTCAAAACACTGAAAAGGAATTGAGAAAGATCTCAGAAAGAAGACCTTCCATGCATGTAGACTGGAAAAAGTACTGTTGTGAAAATCACTGTTTCAGAAAAAAAAAAAAGTCTATAGGTTCAATATAATCTCCACTAAAATTCCACCATTCTTCACAGAAATAGAAAAACATCTTAGAATGATGCTACAGGTATCATCATGCTTGACTTCAAGATATTCGAGGGAGCCGTAGTATTAGAAACGGTACAGTACTGGCACAGATATAGAAATGCCAATCAATGGAATAGAACTGGGGACCAGGATATACTCACTTATATGGTAGTTCTATTTTTAGTCCCTGAGAAATTTCCTCCCTGATTTCAACAGCACCTGTGTTGGTTTACACAGCCACCACCAGAGAGGAAGGGCTTCCCCTCCCCCACATCACCACCATCTTTGGTGCCAATTGTTTTCTCAATGGTATCCATTTTGATTGGAGTGAGATAGACCTCAAATCGTGTAAGTTACAAATCCCCAATGGGTAAGGATTTGAGCACTTTAAAAAATACTTATTATCCATTGGGTTTTGTTTCTTTTTTCTTTCTTTTTTTTTGGTGTGTGCATTTCTTCTGTTGAGAACTCTGTTTATTTCCATAGCCTATTCTTTATTGTATCATTTGCTTTCTTGATGTTTTCAGGTTTTTCTGTACTCTGGCTATTATTCCCCTGTCAAGGGTGTAGCTGGTGAGGATTTTCTCCCACCACATAATCCAAAGGACTCTGTCTCCTCTTACAGAGATACTTGCCCCTCTGTGTTCATTGCTGCTCTAGACATACTAGAGGAAATGGAGGTAGCCTAGCTGTCCAGTGCTGAGATGGCAGGGTGAGGAACGTAATGGAAATGGAGATAGCCTAGCTGTCCAGTGCTAAGATGGCAGGGGGAGGAACGTAATGGAAATGGAGATAGCCTAGCTGTCCAGTGCTGAGATGGCAGGGGGAGGAACGTAATGGAAATGGGGCACTGTAATAATCCATGTGAGGAAGATACAGACCACCACACTAATGTAGACAATTAGGTTTATAAAGTCCTTTAGTTTTGGCCATTGACCAAGAGTGGGTTCAAAGTCTCCTGGTGCAGAAGGTCAGAGGTACAGCATTCTAAAGGCAACACCTACAATCCCATTGATGTTGGATGAGAGGCAAAGTTACCTTGCATCATTTGTTTTGACAGAACATGGATATTTCAAATACAACATGAGAATTTGAGAATTCATTTTGACTTATATTTTCTTTGGTTAATTTAGTTTAAGTTCATATATCACTAATTATTTTCGCTAATACATATGGACCAAAGTGGTCTTGGGAATGCCAAATGTGATTCCAAGGCAGAAACCACTGTTGTGGGGAGGAGGGCTGAGAAGTGTCTGAGCTGACCAAAATGGAGACAGGACAGGATGACTTTGCCTTAGTCACTTCAGTGTGCAATAGAATTTTATTCAGTTGTAAAGAAAATGAAATTTGTAGGAAGATGGATGGAACTTGAAAATATTATGCCAAGTGAGGTAATCCAGGCCTGGGAATGCAAATGTTGTCTCTCAAATGTTGGTTCTACCTTGAAATTTTTAGGTTTCTGTGTTTAAGTCACATGCCTGTAGAGGCCAGGAAGTGTGAAAGGGGCCATTACTGGGGAGGACAGTACATATGTGTTATATGAAAATAGAGAGGGAACACTGGAGTATAAAGGTTCACTTTGGGGTAAAGAAGGAGGAAGGAAGTAGAAGGAAGTTCATCTGCAACAAGATCTGTGTGAAAATGTACACGTTTTAAGTCAATTAAACAAAAATAATTTAAAAGCTGAGTTTGAAAGGTGGTGACCTGTACGAGTGGATAATGCTGCTCCCAGAGTCATTGGTCCTTAAACAAAAATTCTGGCACAGATGTGGGATCCCTCCTTATTAGTTGCTGGTCCAAGAGACTCCAGGTGCCACAGACGGCAGGTGTTCCAGATCCACTTGGGTTTAGAGTGAGGCCAGATTAGGATTGGGGGGTGAAGAGAATCAACTAGAAAGTTGATTACATAGTTATCAGATCCTCAGAGTTGGGGATGTAACTCTGGCATACCTGGGGCAGGCCTGGAGCCCTGGGTTAGGTACCAGCACTACTACACAATAGAAGTAAAAACTAACTAGAAGTAGACAGCAAATGCACAGAAGGAAGAACACGGTGACCTTTGGAAAGGGCGGCCATGATGGTCCTTCCCTTGAGGGAAGCCCTGTGGTCCTCTGTCTTTCCTGTGTGTCTCACTGCTGCTCTCTCCCCTTCCCCCTCCCCCACCTCTGTCCTTCTCCATTCCTCCCTCTTCTCTTTTCTTTCTGCTCTTTTATTTTCAAGGTAGAGGGCAGAAGCAGTTTCACTTTGTAGCCCAGGCTGGCCAGCATCCTCTATGTAGCACAGGCTGTCCTTCAACTTGCAAACCTTGGACCTCAGGCTGAGTCCTGAGATTATAGGTGTGTGCTCCTGTTCCTCCGTCTGAAGTACTCGAAATGTTCTATAAAAAAATCTGAGTTTCACAAATACAATATGTCACATTGTGAATATACATCAAGCTGTCTAGTCAGATTTTGCATAATTTTGTATGTATGTGAATGTGTGGTTGTATGTGGGTGTGTATCCCTGTGGAGGTCAACAATAGTGTTATCCTCACTCTCACACTGAACCTGAGGAATGAATCAGGGATTCATCCAGAGTAGCTGGTCATTAAGTGCCAGGGATCCCCCTGCTTCCCCACCACTACCAGGCTTTTCACTTGGTGCTGGGGATCTGAACTCAGGTCCTCATGCTTACAGAGTCGGGCCACTGCCCAGCCTGTACTTTTTCTGTGTGTATCTCATACTTTAATAAAAGTTAACTTTATCAAAAACTTTTACAATTTTTATTCTTTAAGCATTTTGAGAACTTCATACATAGGATGTACTTGAATCATACTGGACCTCACTCACCCTCCACTGCTACCTTACAACAGAATTCCCCCCAAAGTCCCCCTCCCGACAACTTCTTCCCCCATCCTCTCTTCCTCCCTCCCTCCCTCCCCCTCCCTCCATCCTCCCTCCTTTCCCCTTCCTCTCCTTCCCTCCCCATCCCTCTCCCTCCCCTTCTTCAATGACCACCGAGTCCAGTCAGTGCTGCCCATGTACACATGGAGTAGAATCATCCCCTGGATAGTCAACACACCAAGGACCACACTCCTGAAGAAAACCGACTTTCCCTCTCCTGGCAGTCATCAACTGTCCATAGCTCCTCAGCTGGAGGGGAGGGCTCCTGTGACCCTCCCCCATTCACGCTGGAATGTTACAGAGACTATTAGAGGATGAAACTGACTTGTTTTCAACATTGACCTTTGTGGTCTAGGAAGTGTCCTGTACTGCACACACTGCACCATCTGACTGCAGGTTCACAGTGGTGTCCGTCCCTCCGTCCCTCCGTCCTCCTGCCCAACCTCTAGGTTATAGGGATTATAATAGTGAGTAGTGAATTATTTCTCAATTGGTCTCTTCAGATATAAAATGAAACTATAAATCAATTTATATTGACAACCTGGGCGCTTAACAAGTCATATCCTGGGCTGTCCTGACCTCCCCCCCCCCCCCCCCCCCGGGGTTGTCCCTTTCTGTGTTAGGCATATATTCGCCTCCTGCTTCTTTCCCCTGTCTGTTAAACACGCCCCCTCCCCGCCCCCGCCCGCAACCGTTACTTTCTTTTTGTCTCCCCTGGGATTCTGGATGCTGATTTTCATCTTTCAGCACTGGTGTGGGCCTGACCCTCAGTGCAGTGCAGACTGCCCAGCTCTCTGGAAGCTCGCCCTGAGCTGGGGTGCACCAATCCCAGGGCCCCATAGGGCCCCTCCCCCACGGCATACCTTTCCCACCCCCCTGCTCCCACCCCATGCTGTCCCGGCAGGCTACTTCCTGTCCTCTCTTTGGGAGCTGCCCAGGTCGCGGCCCCTGAAGGAGGGCAGCCTAGGTGGCCCGGAAGCAGAGGCTCCAGGACGCTGAGGGGCAGAAACCAGAGCCCCGGGGAGAAGTTGCAGCTCTCCTCCCGTCCTGTGCACAAGGAGACTGGGCCCCTGCATCTGACCCTGGTGAGTGTGGGCAGGCAGGGCTGGGAAATCCTTTGCAGCTTCATTTGCAAATGTGAAATGCAGACTACTGGCCATGTCATCTGTCTGCAGAGGGTATGGTGTTCACAGCGGTGGGTTGAGGATGTACAACCTCTGATCTCCAAATGTGTGAAGGTAAATAAAGTTGATGTTGAGTGGGGTAAAGTTTTATCAAGCAGTGAATTTACCACAAGTGCAAAAGGATTTTGTTAGCACTGGTATTTTAGGAGCCGGAACAATTTATTCTTTTCCTTTATCTCACGATTTAAAATTTGTTCAAAAATCTCTTGTTTGCTATACAGATATTCAACAACTTCTTACAACTCTTACTCAAATAGTGTGGAAAAACTTTGAACAGACAGAAAAATTAAAGGCCAAAATAACTAGATTGTAAACCTTTCAATGACTGTGTTTCTATCTATAATGCTGTCTTCTTTTCTTGTGTAACACTAGAAATGTAATCGCTGGTCTATTTTTAGAAACACAGAAAGTTTAATAGTAACACATACTTATTGGGCACCATGTGTCCAGGCCTGGGCATTTGCACAGAAGAGCCCTTCCTATGGTGTTAACACAGGCCTCTCCAACAGTGCATTCTCTTCAATCAACCTGTGTTAAAATGCACACACATGCAGAACCTTTTCTGCACATAACTAAGGATCTGTGGAGCATTTGGCAGGATGAGAGGAAAATAAAATACAAACTAGAATGGAGAATTGTGAGAAAGAACATCGGAATCGACATAAATACATTTAGGGGCCCTCAAAGCTGAACTGAGTTACATTTTAAGTGATTTATTCACTTTTATTTACTGTGTATAAGTGTTTTGCTTGCATGTATGTAAGTGCACTGCTTGCATACCTGGTGCCCCTGAAGGCCAGAGAGGGCACTGGATCCCCTGGAACTGGAGTGGCAGACAGTTGGAAGTCCCCATGTGGAAGCTGGGAATGGAACCCAGCTCCTCTGCAGGAGCAGAACCTAAGTTGAATTCTTGGGACCATAACAAGAGGGGGCCCCTCAGTCTCACAGCTCAGGAACAAGAAGGGGAAACACAGTGGCTTTTCAGAGAAGCTTCTCCTGCCTTTGCCTTTGAGGGACTATCTCTTGTGTGTGTTAATCTGGGATGTTGAGGAGACTCAAAGGAAGGCTGTGCCTAGAACCATCCCATAATGCCAGCAGCAGTGCCTGTGCTAAGGGAAACTGTAGATGTCATGTTCCTTACCCTGTTACAGACACCCTGGATGAACAAACAGGTCTTACTTAAAGACAAACCAAGATTTTATATAGGTTATGTGAATTTCATGTTCTTCAAGTATTTGGTAAATACTTACCTTATAGCCACATCGAATATATTTTGGGAGCACCATGTGACATTTCAGTGCATTTGGACACAGTGTATCATCAGTACAGGGCAGTTTTCCTGACACCCTGGATAGTCTGTTGACTATTTTCATTTAAGTTCGGTTGTATTTGAAAACCCTATGAAGTATGCAGTGTCAGAATCAGCTGCTTGAGGAAATTAATTAGGATTAAGATGGAAATTAAAGAACTGGAAAGCCTACCTTACACACACACACACACACACACACACACACACACACACACACACACACACAGAAGCTATGTTGGTACAAAGAAAACTAAAATTTCTTCTTCACAAAGATTATTGCCCAGCTCACTTTAGGATGTGAAATAAAAATTAATAGTCTAGACGACTTTGGCTTCACACGTTTTCTCTTCAGGAATGGCTTTATTGTAGTATAATTAACATCATACTTCTCACTGACTTACAGTGCACACTTCTGTGGCTATGGGTATATTCAGAGGTGTGCAAACATAATTCCATAATCTTGTGAGGCGATCTCCCCTGTACTTCCTTCCATGCTGGGTCCTCCGGGTTATCTCGCCCTTCAGCTTCCAGGTGATTCCCCTGTGTTGGGATTCCAAAGACATGCCACTGTGTTCCCCTTTTCATGGTGTTCTTGGATTGAACTCAGATCTCCAGTCTGTGCAGCCAGCACATTTACCTGCAGAGACACCTGCAGAGACATCTTGCTAGATCCTGGATGGTTTTCAGAGCCTTTTTCTTGGTATGTAGTTCAGAGGATCAAATCCAGAGCCTTCCATATGCTAGGCAAGTGCTCTGTCAGCCCGGTGGGATTTTAAACATAGAAGCATTTCATCCACAATTGGAGTAATTTGACTTCTTCCTTTCCTGATGGTTTGTATCTCTCTCTCTCTCTCATCTTATTTCTCTGAGGATTCAAGCCCTGTACTAAATAATAGTTGAGAGAATAGTCACCCTTGGTGCTATTCTATATTTAGAGGAACTATCTTGTCATTCCCTATTTAGTATAATGCTGAATCACAGTGGCCATTATTGTGTGCAGGTGTGAGCATTGTCTTCCTGGTTTGTTCAGGGCTGTAATTAAGAATGAGTTTAGTTTATCAAAGACTTCTCCATCTATTAATATTATGATCTGGTAGGATAAAAAAATTACCTTTTTATTTGTTAAACCTTGCTTTACAGGTTAAAATGATTTTTACAGCTTAAAATGATTTCTGTCTTGGCAAAAGACCCATGAGCTGCTGAGGAGGATGTGACTTCAGTGATTGTATAGAATATTCTGTTGAAGTCTTGTGAGTCCATTTGATCAATGGCACAGTTTGACTCTGAAGTCTGTTGACTTGTCTATTGATGGAAATGGAGTATTAAAGTTAACTCGCTTTGGCAGCACATATACTAAACCTGGAATGATACAGAGAAGATTAGCATGGCCCCTGTGCGATGATGACACACAATTAGGTGAAGTAGTTCATAGTTTTAGGATAAGATTGATTTGATAGGAGGAAAGGGGTTTTCCTTAGGAAAGGGGAGGGAGGTAAATACAGGAGACGGAGAGAAGCACATAAAATAACAATATGATGGTTGAAAAAGCCTCAAAGAGTCACACTATTAACTATTTACCTAAAACAATAAAACCTATAATGCCCACAATTCACTGTATACATATACATATATAGTTTAATGAACCTTTCTTATCTAGGCTGTTGGAACTCCCAAAGACCATCTAACAAAAAATAAAAACAAATACCAGATATGAGAAGCCCTCTTGTGAGTTGTTGCCAGGGCTGTCTAAGAGACTCCTAAAAAATACAGTCTATTTCTATTGCCCTTAGTTATCCTCTGGAGGTGGAAGGTAATTCCCTATTGCTGAAGACACCATACACTTCAGATACTGGGCCCAGAGTCCCCTGAGCTGTCACTGACTTGGATGCCCCCTCCCCACTCCTGCCCTGAGGACTATCTTTCCTGGTACTAGAAGGCACATGAAAGCTTCCAAAGGAGAGAGACACAACAGTCCTCCCTAGCAATCACATCATGAACCACATCAGTGATGACCTGTCCAGTAGCCCTGTGGGTGAAATAGTGGCACACAAGCCCTGGCAGTAACTGTGGTGGTTTGAGAGAAAATGACCCTCAAAGGAATTGACATTATTAGGTGGTGTGGACTTGTTGGGGTGGGTGTGGTCTTGTTGGAGGAAGTGTGTCACTGTGGATGTGGCCTTTGAGGCCTCATGTATGCTCAAGGCACACCCAAGAGACAGACCACTTCCTGTTGCACACACAAGATGTAGAACTCTCAGCTACTTCTCCAGCAAAATGTCTGCCTACATGCTGCCGTGTCCCACTATGATGATAATGGACCAAACCTCTGAACTGTGAGCCACCCAATTAAATGTTTTTCCTTTATAAGAGTTGCAGTGGTCATGGTGTCTCTTCACAATAATACAAACCCTAATTAAGGCAGTCTCTAATTGAGCTTGGTACTGGGAACCTAGATACCTAACCAGTGCTAGTGAAGCCACAGTTATTGGAGGAGAACCTATAAACAGTAATTTACTAAAGCAGCATAATCCTTAACAACACTCAGTAAACATTTGTCCTTACATCCATAGTGTCACTCCCAAAAGTGTAAGTCCCACATATACCCATAAGTGTAGTCTACCTCTCCTCAAGGAGACTTCTCTTTGCAATGGATAGAGACCATTGCAGAAAACCATGCAGGCTCCTAAGCTGTCAGTCTAGAGTCCATGAGCTCACAGTACCTTGGGTCAGCTGCCTCCGTGGGTTTCTCATCATTATCTTGACTCTCTTTGCTCATATAATCCCTCCTCCCTCTCTTCCACTGGATTCCTTGGAACTTGGCCCAGGGTTTGGCTGTGGATCTCTGCATCTGCTTACCTCAGTTACTGGATGAAGGTTCTATGATGACAATTAGGGTAGTCACCAATCTGATTACAGCAGAAGGCCAGTTCAGGCACCTTCTCCACTATTGCTAGGAGTCATCTTTGTGGACTCCTGGGAGTTTCTCTGGCACCAGGTTTCTCCCTAACTCCATAATGGCTCCCTCTACCAAGATTTCTCTTTCATTGCTCTCCCACTCTGTCTCTCCCCCAGCTGGACCATCCCTTTCCCTTATATCCCATCCCTCATCCCCTCCCTTCTACCCTTCCTCACCTCCAGTCTATCTAGGAGATCTCATCTATTTCCCTTTCCCAGGGCAATCCATGCATCCTTTTTAGAGTCCTCCTTGTTACCTAGCTTCTCTGGGGCTGTAAATTTTATCCTGGTTATCCTCGGCTTTACATCTAATATTCACTTACGAGTGAATTCATACCATGTTTGTCTTTCTGGGTTTTAGTTACCTCACTCAGGATAATTTTTTTCTAATTCCATCCATTTGCTTGCAAATTTCGTGATGTCATTTTTTTTTTAACCTGCTGAGTAATACTCCATTGTGTAAATGTACCATATTTTCTTTATCCATTCTTTGGTTGAGGGGCATCTAGGTTGTTTGCAGGTTCTGGATATTACAAATAATGCTGCTATGAACATAGTTGAGCAAGTGTCCTTGTAGTATGATTGAACATCTTCTGGGTTTATGCTGAAGAATGGTATCACTGGGTCTTGAGGTAGATTGGCCTAATTTTTCAGAGAAACCATCATACTGTTTTCCAACGTGGCTGTACAAGCTTGCACTCCCACCAGCAGTGGAGGAGTGTTCCCCTTACTCCACATCCTCTCCAGAATAAGCTATCATCATTGTTTTTGATCTTAGCCATTCTGATAGGTGTAAAATGGTATCTCTGAATCATTTTGATTTGCATTTCTGTGATGACTAAGGATGTTGATCAATTCCTTAAATTTCTTTCGGCCATTTGAGATTCTTCTGTTGAGAATTCTCTGTTTAGATCTGTACCCCATTTTTTAATTGGATTATTTAGTATTTTGATGTCTAGTTTCTTGAGTTCTTTATATATTTTGGAGACTAGCCCTCTGTCAGATGTGGGGTTGGTAAAGATTTTTTCCCATTCTATAGGCTGCTGTTTTGTCTCATTGACCATGTCCTTTGTCTTACAGAAGTTTTTTCAGTTTCAGGAGGTCCCATTTATTAATTGTTGATCTCAGTGTCTGTGCTACTGGTGTTCTATTCAGGAAGTGGTCTCCTGTGCCAATGTGTTCAAGGCTATTTCCCACTTTCTCTTCTATCAGGTTCATTGTAACTGGATTTTTGTTGAGGTCTTTGACCCATCTGGACTTGAGTTTTGTGCATGGCAACCGATATGGATCTATTTGAATTTTTCTACATATCAACATCCAGTTATGCCAGCACCATTTGTTGAAGATGCTTTCTTTATTGGACAATAAAGACACCAATGGACAATTTTGGCTTCTTTTTCAAAAACCAGGTGTTCATCGGTGTGTGGATTAATGTCATTGTCTTTGATTCAATTCCATTGATATCTACCTGTCTGTTTTTATGCCAATACCATGCTGCTTTTTATTACTATAGCTCTATAGTAGAAATTAAAGTTGGGAATGGTGGTTCTTCCAGAAGTTTCTTTATTGCATAGGATTGTTTTAGCTATCCTGGGTTTTTTCTTTTTCCATATGAAGCTGAGTATTTTTCTTTGGAGGTCTGTGAAGAATTGTGTTGGGATTTTGATGGGGATTGCATTGACTCTGTTGATTGTTTTTGATAAAATTGACATTTTTACTCTGTTAATCCTACCTATTCAGGAGCATGGAAGAGCTTTCTCTTTTATGATACCTTCTTCAGTTTCTTTCTTCAAAGACTTAAAGTTCTTGTCATACAGGTCTTTCACTTGTTTGGTTAGAGTTACCCCAAGATATTTTATATTATTTGTGGCTATTGTAAAGGTGATGTTTCTCTGATTTCTTTCTTAGCCCTGATTATCATTTGTATATAGGAGGGCTACTGATTTTTTTTTGACTTAATCTTGTATCCTGCCACGTTACTGAAGGTGTTTATATGCTGTAGGAATTCTCTGGTAGAATTTTTGTGGTCACTTATATGTACTATCATGTTATCTGCAAATAGCCAAAGTTTGACTTCTTCCTTTCCAATTTGTATTCACTTGATCTCCTTTTGTTTTCTTATTGTTCTAGCTAGAAGTTTTAGTACTATATTGAATAGATATGGGAAGAGTGGACAGCCTTGTCTTGTTCCTTATTTTAGTCAAATTGCTTTGAATTTTTCTATTCAATTTGATGTTGGCTTTTGACTTGCTGTATATTGCCTTTATTATGTTTAGATATGTTCCTTGTATCCCTGATCTGTCCAAGACCTTTATCATGAAGGGGTGTTGGATTTCATCAAAGGCTTTTTTAGCATCGAATGAGATGATCGTGTGACTTTTTTCTTTCAGTTTGTTTATATAATGGATTACATTGACAGACTTTCGTATGTTCAACGATCACTGCTTTTCTGGAATGAAGCCTACTTGGTCTTAGTGAATGATTTTTTTTTTTATGTTTTCTTGGATTTGGTTTGCCCATATTTTATTGACTATTTTTTCATCAATGTTCATGAGGGAGATTGGTTTGTAATTCACTTTATTTGTTGCATCTTTTTGTGGTTTGGGTATCAGAGTGACTATAGCCTCATAAAAAGTGTTTGGTAATACTCCTTCTGTTTCTGTTGCGTGGAATAAGTTGACAAGTGTTGGTATTAGCTCTTTTTGGAATTCTGGTAGAATTCTGCACTCAAATCATCTGGCCCTGGAATTTTTTTTTTTGTTTTGGTTGGGAGACTTTTAATGACTGCTTCTATTTCCTTAGGTGTAATAGGTCTATTTAAATTGTTTATCTGGTCTTGATTTAATTTGGGTATGTGGTACCTACCTGGAAAATCATCCATTTCTTTTAGATTTTCCAATTTTGTGGAGTATAGGTTTTTGAAGTATAACCTGATGATTCTGTGGATTTCCTTGGTGTCCATTTTTATGTCTCTCTTTTGTTTGTGATTTTGTTAATTTGGATATTCTCTCTCTGCCTTTTGTTAGTTTAGAAAAGGGTTTGTCTATCTTGTTGATTTTCTCAAAGAACCAACTCTCGGTTTCATTGATTCTTTGTACTGTTCTCTTTGCTTCTATTTTATTGATTTTAGCCCTCATTTGGATTATTTCCTGTCATCTACTCCTCCTGCGTGAGTTTGCTTCTTTTTGTTCTAGAGGTTTCAGGTGTGCTGTTAAGTTGCTACTCGGAGATTTCTCCAAATTCTTTATGTGGGCATTTGGTGCTATGAACTTTCCTCTTAGCACTGCTTTCATAGTGTCCCATAAGTTTGTGCATGTTGTGTATTCATTTTCATTGAATTCCAGGAAGTCTTTAATTTCTTTCTTTATTTCTTCCTTGACCCAGTGGTGATTCAGTTGTGCACTGTTCAGTTTCTATGAGCTTGTAGGCAATTTGTGTTGTTGAAATCTAACTTTAAGCCATGGTGATCTGATAAGATACT